CCCTGTTAACGGTAATTTATTCCTCTCCCGCAATGGCTCCCGGTAATTAGTTCGTTATTGTTCCACCTTTACGCAGGCCTATTGTAGCGAAGGGCGTCGGCAGGTTAATACTGGCCATAGGCCTACTTTTCGCACAGAACTCTTAACGTAATATTCGTTGATGACGTCACGGGATCGGATTTCCTCGTTTTTTTCTCTCTTTTTCTTTATTTGAGGGGGGGCGGGTACGTAGAGTTTCGAAATAAATTTAAGTTCTTGTTCGATGCTTAAATAGATAGATATGGGAATTTATGTATTCTGAGTTCGTGTTCCATCAGTCCGTAAACAAATAAAATACGGGAATTTATGTAATCTGAGGGGGGGCATTCCTCAATAAGAACGTAATAGAAAGGCTGCTTTTGTACAGAGTCGCTAGGGGGGCGGGTGTCCTACTCCCTTTCCCTGAGGACTCTGGAGGGAAGGGAGGAGGAAGGGAGGGAAGAGGAAAGGAGTCTTAGGTATAATTGATTGATTTTAGTGTCATTATCATCATTATCAGAGGTAGAAAAGTCACTTGGATTCCCAGCAGACCGCGAATAAATGATTCCTGTCGCTGTGATTATTATGTATGTGAAAAATCAGCGGGTGTCTCCATTTTTTCAATCCGAGTCACAAGCACAAACGCATTAGTTCCCCCGCGCCTCGCTCCCCAAGGGTAACACCTCTCCCCTCCCTCAGGTGCTGCGAGACATCATGTCCCAGAACCCCAGCGACGGAGGGAACGGCGGCCAGGGCGTGGCGGAGGCGTACAACCCTGTGATGGAGGCCCCCCAGGCCCCGCCCCCGCCCCCGCCGCCCCCAGGGAGAGAATCATCACCATTCGGATGGAGGGAGCCGACGGCGAGACGGATGAGTCCAAGGTGAGTCGGCTTTGGAGGGTAGGGGTGTTGTTGGGTGTTATTCGGTGTTATTATTATTATTAGTAGTAGTAGTAGTAGTTGTTGTAATAGTAGTGTTTTAATTTTTGTTTGCTTATTCCTTTGTTATACTGGATGCGGTTTTCGTTTTGTCGAGGAGATGGACAATTCATGACACCCGTTTACTTGTGAAGTTCACCCTATTCATTGAACAGTTTATTAATTATTCATGTATCATTCGAACAGCAAAGCCTACTCCCTTTCCTGTGCCTTACACAGCGTCCTCATGCTCGTGCTCACTTCCAGGTCCCGACGCAGCCGGCGCCGAGAGTGCACCAGAGCCAGGTCGTCCACAACATCACCAATGACATGAGTCGCCTCAACACCGCTGCCCAGCCAAGGGTCAACACCGTGCAGTCAAGGAGGTTAGTCGTTTTTAAGCTTATTTCGCTCACACTACAGTTGGACTCTTCAGTTTGTAGTGGAGTGGAATAAATGTATTGTAGTGTTCTGTGATGTACTGTTCAGACTTATTCTCGAGTTTACCAGAATCACAGTGTTGTGGTGTTCGTTAAATTGTCAGATTTCGAGCGTCATGAATGAATGAAGTAAAGTGAGCCTCATGCCGTTAAAACACGACTACAAGTTCGTAGATTTGCGACCGTGTGTAGTAACTAATTTTCGCTCTCGTTTCCAGATGGGCTGAAGAACCCAACGTGAGCGTGGGGTCATGGGTGGAGCGCCCGTCACAGCCCGTGGGCGTTTATCAGGACCAGGACTACGTCACATCTGTTCCCCGGTCACAGACTTCCCAGGATTTCCCTCCTTCAGTCGGCCCTGAAGCACAGCAGCAGGCTTTTTCACGTCCAGCTGAAACCATGAGTCAGGAAAGGAGGCCCTTCCAGTCTGCACAACCTCAACAGCCGCAGTTTAATCAGCCACAGCAGCTTCACAACCTGTCCCCGCAGCAGCAACAGCAGTTTGCACAATTTTTGCAACAGCAGCAGCAGCAACAACAGGAAAAGCAACAGCCTCAATTTATGCAGCAGCAGCAGCAAAAACAGCAGCCCCAGTTCATGCAGCCAGTGCAGAGCAAATTAATGCCACAGCAAAAGCAACCCTCCCCGACATTCATGCGTCCTCAGCAACAGAAGCAGCCCTCTCCTCCTCTGACGCAGCAGCAGAGACAGCCATCACCATTCATGCAAAACCAGCAGCAGAAACAGCCTTCCCCTCCTTTCAGCCAAGCTCAGCAACAGAAGCAGCCTTCTCCTCCCCCCATGTACACTCAGCAGCAGAAGCAGCCCTCCCCGCCCTTCAGCCAGGCCCAGCAGCAGAAACAGCCTTCCCCTCCGTTCATGCAGCAGCAGAAGCATTCTTCCCCGCAATACCTGCAGCAGCCAAAGCAGCCTTCCCCTCCCAAGCAGACCCAGCAGGCGGATGTGCCACAGCCCGAGAGAGCAGCGTTCTGGCGGGAACTGGAAGCCAGGCGCCAGGACTTAGGGTTGCAGAAGGAGCCCGAGAGCCCAGAGCCCACACGCCCTCCGCGCAGGAGCTCCCGCCAAGAGTCCCCTCCGCAGGTAAGGACTGGGCCTCAAACACTCGGCTGTGGGACTCTCTAGAGTATTATTTTAACCATGGTGTTAGTTACACTCACCTTCAGTCGCTTCAATATTTAAGATATGATGTGTGTGTAGGAGGGGGTGGTTAAGGGATTTCTAATGTTATGAATATTGAGTACAAGTACAAATATTGATAATGACTAAGTTAATTTATTAGAAATCACAGCATGCATGTCCCCAAGGAACTTTAACGAATTTCCTTTGGCATATTTTTCTGATATGCCAGTCGATTCAAGTACCATTTCTAGAAGGTATATATCTAAATGCTCAGGTGTGAAGAAAACACCTGTTACTTTTTGAAGTTAGTATATAGCATGTAATACAAATGGTATCTTTTCTTTTTAACAGGATAATGTAGAGAAACCGTTAACCTACTTCGGACAGCAAGCAGTTGTCCATGAGCCACCCCAGACGTATTACTACAACGGAGAAGGAACTCCTGCCATGTCGAAAGGCAACAGCAATTTGGCCCAACGACCCAGGGAAGCTGAGAATGAATCTGGTCCGCGATACACCTCTGTGGTGACATTGTCTTCTGACAAAGGAGAAACAGGCAACGGAGCAGCTGCACCCAGAGACAAGGTCAGGTCAGTAGTTCAGCTGAACAACGATCAGCGTGGCCAGCCCCGACCTGCCCCCGTCGTGCGTGGATTCCGGCAACCCTCGCAGCCTCAGTCCCGGTCTTCTGTGTCACCTCCCACGAATAGCACGGTCCCAGCTCCTCTGCAGGAACCCATCCCGCAGGCCCCGACGGCTGCAAGACTCGTAGCCGCGCTGTCCCAGCCAGCACCCAAGGCCCCCTCACCCTCGCCCATGGCGTCCATGGGCGCCACCCGCGTGTCCCCGCCGAGAACGTCACCCTCCCGTGTTTCTCCTCCTCGCACGTCGCCATCCCGGGTAAGCCCCCCATCTGGGCCTGCATTCCAAAACGTGCAGCTTCGCCCCGTTCCGGTGGCTCGTGGCTCAACTCCACCGGAAGTGGTGCCACCACCTCCTGCCCCGGTGCCTCCCCCTCCACCACCAGCCCCGAGTAATCAGGCAGGTGGGCCCCCACCTCCTCCCCCACCAGCACCACCCATGGCTCCTCCGCCCCCACCAGCACCCACAGCTGGCGACGGAGAGAGGCGAACGGCGACTGGGAAGCGTATCGTAGCGCCCAAGACCGCCCCGGCACTGGATCCCCGCGAAGAACTCATGATGGCCATCAGGAACCACGGCGGGTCGCGGAACCTGAGGAAGACCCACAACATGATTAATCATTAATATGGATTTAGCAAAGCTCAAGACATTGCGGTATGATTAACGTGTCCTGCGTCAATGAATGAATAAATGAGGTCGCAGAGAGTTTCTGGATGTTTTGTTATTGCATTTGTGTCTTTATTATATGACTTTGTTGTGCTATTGTTTATCGATATACAAAATGTATCACTACAAAAAAGGTATCCAGTACCTTTGTTAAAGGAATTTTCGTTTATTCTCCATATTGGACTTTTGTATCTATGTATTTCTAGCTTGTGTAGTGCCTTACTCCAGTGAAGCCCATGCTTTATGGGCTTTGTATAGTCTTGTACAGTATATATCATCATTATGTAGATAATCTAAGCATGTTGTAATCTACTGTCTTATAAATAACATGATCATATGCAGTTCTTCAGCTCATCTTTATCAATCAGGAAATAATAACACATTAACAGTCAGGTTGATGCCTGCCAGTTTCAATACTTGTAAGTAATACTCAGCAATATTATTGGTGCTACCATCTGCATATTTTATATACTGCTAATATTATACTCTCGTATGACATAAGTGAAATTTAATGTATTTTTTCAGACTAAAAATTAAATTCTGTATGATGAATTTCAAGCAGAAGGGAAGAGGCTTCCCTTGTGTATTATACAGTATTTTAGGAAGATGTGCAGAAGCCTTAAAAATCTGTCATTCTGTGCTTTCTTTCTGTAGTAATGGAATAACTAAAAGCTGTTTATGCATGATTTTTCTACATATATGTGTCATAAAGACGGCCATAACTTCTCATATTTCATGTTTTCTGATTAATAGATCTATTAATGATAATACCTTATGCTTGTGTATCCTTCCTTATTGTTATATATACTTTTCTTTTGCTTTTGTAAATAATGTAGAAGTATATTTTCTCCAATAAACGTTAATATTGGAATCAATGTTGTCATTTGTATCTTTACATAAGAATGTAGCCAGGTATTAAATAAAGACAATATATGAGCCAACATTTCTTCATGAAGCAAATATGCATACCTCATGTATGCCTTGAAGAAGAAAATATTTGAAGTTGCATATATAAAGAGAAGTTGAATGTGGTAAAAACTGCAATTAAGTGAATAGTTGTGACCTGTGACAAAATGCCATACAAAGTTAAGTCAATGGAAACTTTACAATAAATAGTTGCAAGGATTAACAGAAAGGTATCCACATATGATTAGCCAGTGCCATATTGACACTGAGT